TTTTATCTTAACATCCACTCATTCCTTTTTAAAACAGTTTAACAAATATAAATTGAAACAATAAAAGTTAAAACATAATTTCATTTAACTTAAAACTAACTGTTCTGAAAACTGTATAATTTTTAGAGTTCTTTTGATGTTATATATAGCGGCAAAAGAATTAAAAACAATCGAAAAAATAAAATTATTTTCGGCCGCTTAACTGTAGCTCTATCTAGAATATTAAAAAAACTTTAAAATTATAGAGTTTTAAAAATAAATAAATTTATTTATTTATATACATATACAGGGCATATCAAAGGGGAGGAGGACAAGAGGAGCAACTTGCCGAAATTTTCATAAAATTCAGAGCCTCTTTCTAAGTTAAAAGACTTTTTTTTAAAAAATCAATAATAACTAGAAAGTCAAAAAAGTAAATAAAAAATGTTAATTTACTATCTTGACTTTATAGTAAAAGAAAGTCAAGAAAGTAAATGAATCTTATTTATTTAATTTCTTGACTTGACACCGCGTGTCTTTCACGTGGTTATACAAAATAACAATAGCGCAAGTTGTTACCTTCTTGGATGGGGGAAAACAAATGATTACTCAATGCAACTAAGGCGTAGAACAAACAAACTCGTAATAAAAAACTGATAATTTAAAACAAATCCGATTGGTTGCTAAGTTGCAAACCGAAAAACTTAGTATTTAATTTATGCAAACAAAGAATTCGAATGGAATGTAACTATAAAATTTTCCGCCTCTGTTTTTTAATTGTTTACGTAATAATTTATTATTTCAAGATGGCCAAATAAGTCCCGAGTATTTCAAAAAATCATAATTACCAAAAAACAGTTTTTTAAATGGGGCTAAAAGTTATGCAAAAACGGCTTTGGTAGAAAAATTAACACTAACATAGGCTATCTAAATCTAACGTGACATTATTGTTTAACATACTCATTTAGGTAAGTTATTGAAAATAGTAACTTCAATTTTCATACAAAAATGGTTTTTTATTGATAATTTTCCCAATAATTTTTGATTAAAAATGTCAAGTTACATTCATTGAAAAATTAAGCTCATAGACTTATCTATAACCAAGCACCAAGGTACTTTATGTTAAAAATTGCATCTTTTCTAAATGAAACTACGCTTGACGATTTGTTATAGCCGTATTACTTTTACCAGATTATAATAGTGGTTAAAATAATCTTTCCATACATACCAAATATGTCATACTTTTTGATGAAAAAATTTACATATATTGTAATTGAAAAAACTTATTCGTTTTTTCAATTCGGATTTTCGTTCGGAAAAACGTGTACCAGGCCTTAGTTCCATTAAGTAGTTAAGTTAATAAAGCGGTTTGCCTTGAAAAAATTAGATTTTTACGCCGCAGAAAGGTATATAAATACATTTGCAATCCTTGGAATCAACCGATGTTTATACAAGTTCCTTACAAATATTTGAAAAGATGATCAAACTAAATGACCATGAGTTCAATACAATGACATTTATAATTATTTAATAAAAAGTCCTATAATATTTTCTTTTGAGGCTATAGATAATTACGAAACACTAGATGCTTCTAAATATTTTGGCTTTGGCTAGATGCAGGAAGTTTTTCACACGAAGTTAAGTTCTAGTTTTGTTGTTTTGAAAACACAAGTTGTGCGTTTGTTGTTGGAAACACAAGTTTGTTGTTGTGCTGTGCACAAAGTTGAAAACACAAGTTGTGACTTGTGCGTTTAAAACAACAAAACCATTTTAGTCACCAGAGTTGACTCAAAATAACGAAACCATCTTACAAAACATATATATATATATATATATATATATATATATATATATATATATATATATATATATATATATATATATATATATATATATATATATATATATATATATATATTTAATATATTATATCATTTATATTTACACACACTTACACAGATATATATATATATATATATATATATATATATATATATATATATATATATATATATATATATATATATATATATATATATATATATATATATATATATATATATATATGTATATGTATATATATATATATATATATATATATATATATAGATTTTTGATATATATATATATATATATATATATATATATATATATATATATATATATATATATATATATATAGATTTTTGATATATATATATATATATATATATATATTTAATATATTATATCATTTATATTTACACACACTTACACAGATATATATATATATATATATATATATATATATATATATATATATATATATATATATATATATATATATATATATGTATATGTATATATATATATATATATATATATATATATATATATATATATATATATATATATATATATATATATATATATATATATATATCAAAAATCACCTAAAGACATAACAACTCTTGGGCATTTTAAAGACTTTTTTGTTTTGTCATTGTTTTCGTTTCAGAACGAAAGTTTATTTTCCCCCAACTAAAATGGCAGTCTTCTCTGTTTGACCAGCGCTTTTGCACTCTTGCAGTTTTGCGCTCGTCCACAGGCCCGCCAATACTACGTCTGACGCTTTTTTATTCGCTCGTCAAAAAATTTTAGGTGTGTTTTTAAATTGCAATAAATCTTTTTTTTTAATCTAATTCTAATTAAAGAGGTACAAAAAACAAATATTTTTAAAACCGCGTGCGCCGGACAAATAATTATTGTCCGGCCAGCACTTCATCATGCGTTGGCGGTAAACTTCAAATGGAGAAGACTGATACATCAAGCTCTAGCAATTTGAGAATTTTATCTTTTGATTACTTTCTTAAATCATTTGAAGTAACTATAAAACTTGATTCTTTTATTTCCTTTCCATTTAATGCATAACTATCTGCTTCTTTTATTAAATTATCATTTGACGCTTGAATTAGCTTCTTTATTTAAACAATGTCATCAATTTTAATGAATACAGCTTTTCTATTTAAACTTACAGTTGATAACTTTTTTTGCACTTCCTAAAGCAGCTTCATATCGCACTCTAGATGATTTTACAGATTCTAATATTTCTCTAGTAATTGGAATATCTGCAGTATTTTGTTGCTTTGATGACACGACATGTCATCATGATGTGATGTGAAAGCAAAATTTTTAACAAAGGCAAGAAAAATAAAATTATGAAAAAATTCAAAAGAGACGTATATCAATTTACAGGTATATGCTGACCAAGAAAAATATCTAAAAAAATATCTTTATATTTTTTGATTGACAAAAACTTTGTGTTATGTTTACTAATAACGTTTATTATAAATTGAAAATACTCTTCATTTGCTTTGTCACAAACTTTTGATTTTAAATTATCCAAAAGCCACTAATTTTTGCAATAGTTTAGAAAACTTTATTTTGTTACACTCTAGTTCTCTGTTATCTGCTAATTTAATTGGATCCAGACAAGATAAAAAACCTGTCAAGAAGATATTTTATAGTAGATTTTTCTAAAATGTAAGTTGCAAGTGAAGACAAAAACATGCATACACCTTTGTAAAACTTTGAAATTGTGCTTCCATTTGATGTTGATAATCTTTTTTATTTTTGAACTTCCATATAGGCAGACAGACCAATATTAAACGATATCTTCTCTTTTGTATAACATAGATATCTGATAAAATTAGCTTCATTATTTTTAATTTGTATCAGATTTTTCAAATACATCATTCAATAAAAACATACTGAGAATGTTAACTAATATTTTTTTTAAAAGTATCAAATAAAAATGCGACCATTAGTTTATTGCTTTGAAAACCTATCAGAAATAAATTTTAATTTAGCAATAAACAAAGGATCTTTTATTGCGTCTTTTAAAATATTAAACCACTTCCCATGAGGTTGCTTTGGTTTTGGTAAACTTTGCAAGTGTTCAATAAATTTTGAATACCCAAGAAAAAAACTCACTGCATGTCCACAACAGTTTTTATTCTCATACCAACGATGGCCATAATAAGGTAAATGGTAAACTTCATCGCACATTTTCACAGCTTTTTCTCTGTAAAAGACATTTATTCATAAACTTCCACATTGCTTTCAATTTTTCACAAAGCTTTCCCTGAGATTTATTGATTGATGTTTTTAGGCTTCCATGAGCTGTGTGGAGACCACATGTCCAAATATGAGCTTCCATGAGCTGTGTGGAGACCACATTTTCTCTATTAAGGTTGTACACTCCTTAAGTTTGCAATCTTTTTTTACCAGTCTTAAAAATTTTAAATTGACATTAGGCCCATATTAATCATTAAGAAAATGATGATGATGATTACTTTCTGATCTTCACTAACATATTTACCACTTTGATATTGGGCTGCTTTTTGCAAATACATCTCATCCACAAGAAGCACATCAAAATTTTGATGTTTAACCTATTACCCGGTTAACAAATATTAATAAAGAACAATCTAAAATAATAATAGAATTAATTCAAGATTGAGATTTACAAGTACAGTTTACATATTACAATCATGATAAAATTGTTATCTAAAACATTATGCATATTCTCAATAAATTAATGTTTAAATTGCGTTTGACAATTCTATTTTTAAAATCTTTTCAATATAAAAGAAACATTTCACACTTCATTATGATATTACATACAGTAAAGAAACGATAATGTTAAACAAAAATCTTTATAAAAGATTTGTTGTGACTGAAAGTAATCAATTTCTATTTTGTGTTACTCAATGGGTTGATGATGAAAAGGCTTTAAGAGCTGTTAATATTTGGCAGAGCATTTATAAAACATGAAGATTTTGGGAATCTCTACCAAAGACTTAGCAGCCTTTGTACATGAGCTACCAAATTGTTTTAACTGCTATTTTAGCAAAATTTGATTTCTTTGTTCATATAGCTCATATTATGCAATCCTTTTCAACAATTTATCAATATTCAAATATCAATAATCAAATTTACTAATAGGAGTCTCAACATATTTATAAATGTCTCAATAGGAGTTGTTTAGAATGCATATATTGTGGCAGGTATTTTCTTTATATTCATTTGCATTAAATTTTAACTCAAAAGTTATAATAAAAATAATAAATTCATCTTTTGAGCTAGGACTTGCCTATTTTTATAAGCCAAAAGAAGCTTTTTGTATATTACCCAGTGGGCACCCGAAGTCAATCCGACGTCGGATTTACGTACGATTTTCATCAGCGATGTCAAAAGACCTATTCCGACGTTGTTCCGATGTCAGTAAAATGACGTCGGGCGATGTCTTTATCTCAACATCTCCTGACGTCGTTTCGATGTATTTTGACGTTGTTCCGACATCTTATAAAAGACGTCCAAAAAACGTCGCAGTACTGACATCGATCCAACGTCGATAAAAAGACGTCGGGCAACGTCATAATATTAACGTACTCCGATGTCTTTTGACGTCTTCCGACGTCAATCCAACGTCCTTAAAACGACGTCGGAACAACGTCGTAAGACATCGCTGATGAAAATTTAATCCAAACCCAACAATAAGTGTGCAATTGCGCTCTTCAATAATTATGTGAACTAAGCGTGTTTTTTTATTAATGGAAAAAAGTTTGAATAATGGTTGATAAAACATCATGAGGTTTTGTATGATGCACTAGCATAGTTTTTTAACTATTAACATTTTCGAGTACACATTTTTTATAATATATAACTATTCGTTTTAATATTTATATAATATTTAAACAAAATTTTTTTAACGTTTTTTAGTTTTCAAAAAACACGTTGGATTTACATCGGAATGCCGACGTCGCGCGATGTCAGTTTATCCGACGTCAAATAACATTTCCATTTCAAACGTAAACCCAACGTCGATCCGACGTCGAGATCCGACGCCGCTTGACGTTCGTTCGACGTCGAAATGCCCACTGGGTAAATGTAAGAAGCTCATATTTATATTTCATTCAACTGGTTTACCAATTTATATTAAGGTATCTAAATCATTTTTTGTATGGTAAGTCAAGACCTTGAATAAAAGATTTTAATAAATGCTCTGAATTTGCACCTCTTAAAAATCATTAAGATATCTTGTAAAAATCTGATATGATTTATGGTTCTTTTTGCATAGTCCGATTTAATGACTCATCAAATGATATTACAAAAACAGGTAATAACAATATTTTTTTTTATATAAAAAATCAATAAAAAATGGTGCAACCCTAAAATTTTGTAATATATTCACACTTTGTTTGACTAGGCTGAAACTTTTTTGCAATATTACTATCAGAAAACATTTATATAAATAGTGAGTTTAGTTCTTCACATAATGTTTGAAAAAATATTGATAAAACTACATGTAATATCCATCTAATTTTAGTAGTTATTTATAAATAACATATTCATTGTCTTAGAAGTAAATGGCTTTTCAATAATAATGAACTGTACTAGTTTTTAAAGGTGATGAAATAATGCAAAATAATTGCACAATGAGCTTAACTTATAATGCTTTTTACTTTTGAGGCAATAACTTATGTTTTTTACTTTTGAGATGAATTTTAAATGTCTTCTTTAAAAAAAAAAACATGCTGCAACTTTACTATTTATAATTTTACTATTTATAATTTTACTACTATTTATAATTTTACTATTTTACTAACGAGTGACAACTAAAAAACGAAACTGGATTTAAAGACACATTTCTCCTTTAAGGAATAAGATTTAAAAAATTGGAAAACTGTTTTATAAGGTATTTTTATTCTAGTTTTTAAATATTTTATGTGATTTTATTTTTTATAGAAAAATGAATAAAAAATAAATTCAAAACAAGAAGAGGTTAGGAAACGTGTGTATGAATTTTATTTAAATTACAAAAATGCTGGTAAGAAGTTCACTTATGACCACTTTAAAGTTGAGAATATACCTAAAAGTACTATCTACAAGATAATTAAACATGCTGAAAGTGAATCTGGGTACCAAAGAATTAAAGGAAGTAGAATAAAAGCTAAAAAAATGACCAGGACAAACATTGAAAGGCTCAAACTCATGTTTAACCATAAAGACGGAGTTTCTCAACAACAGGCAGCTAAAAAGTTCAACTGTACTCAGCAACACATTAGTAAAACATTAAAAAAAAAAAAAAAAGAACAAATATTAAATCAAGAAAAAAAATGACGATTCTAAAACGCTCTGACCAGCAAAAAGCAGTAGCTAGAACTAAGTGCAGTTGATTGTGTCAGAAATTCAAAAATCGTAAACCAATCATTGACGATGAGCCTTATTTCACGTTAAATCACTCCAGTATCAATGGAAATGATATATTTTTTCCTAGTGATGTAAAATCTACTCCATCTACAGTTAAATACCAAGCAAAAAAAAAGTTTCAGAAGAAATTACTTTTATGGATTGCTTTTTCTGAAAATGGAATTTCTCAACCTTATTTTGTACCAAGAGGACTGGCTGTAAACCAAAAAATCTATTTAAATAAATGTATTAAGAAGAGACTTATTCCATTCATCAATAGGTATCATTCAGATGGTGCATATGTATTCTGGCCAGATTTAGCATCATCTCACTATGCAAAAACAGTAGTTATGTACCAAAACAAGGAAAACGTGCATTATGTTGAGAAAGCGGATAACCCTACAAACTTGCCAGAATGTCGTCTTATCGAAAATTTTTGGAGTATTTTGAAAGGAATTTTCTACAAGAATAATTGGCATGCAGAAAATCTTTAAAAATTACGTTCTAGAATCAAGTATTGCCTTAATAAAATTGGTATTGAGCTCATACGGAGACTAGCTCAGTCTATACCAGGCCTAGTTGATAAAGCCAGAAGAAATGGTTTAATTGAGAACAACTGATTATATATTTAAAAACTAGAATAAAAATACTTTCTAGAACATTTTCCGTTTTTGTTTTATTTTATTTCTTTAAAGAGATACGTGTCTTTAAATCCAGTCTCGTTTTTTAGTTGTCACCCGTTATTCTAAACTTAAGTTTGTAAATATTTAAACAGTTTATCAAAAGTAATTTAAAAATTAAATGCAATAACTTAATTTGCAAGACTTAAAACTCTACAAAATAAAATTACAAATTTAAATACAAAGGAAATAATAAATCACAATTTTTTCTTGTTGTTTAAAATTAAATCAAAGCGATTTGATTTTTTTGTTTCTTTTTACATAAAAAATTAAATTACTGCAATATTATTATTAATCTTTTAACTTTATTTAGAAAAATAGAAATTTCAGGTTAATTTAAATCATTTTTGAAAAATTTAAATTTTCCAGGACATTCCAGGACACTTATAAAAACCCAGGACGTTCCTGGACATCTCTGGACTGTGGCCACCATGAGCACAGTAAACATATCTTAAAATGGTAAAAGTATTTTTTGTTACTTACTAGGTTTGCCAGATGTCCGGCTTTAATATAGGAGAATAGTGCTGAACCAATAAGAATTAAAATTTTTACTGTGTTATCCTTTGTAAAAGCCGGACATCTGGCAACCCTATTCCTTACCACAAATATTATTAAAGCAACTTGCTTTTTGTTAAAAAATTTGTTGAAAGAAAATCATTTAAAACTTATGCTTATTATAATTTGTAAAGTTATAAACATAGTTTAACAATTGTTAGCATGTAAATATAAAACATCAATAAAAATGAAGAATTAAAAATGATCTAAGCCAAGCTACTCAATCCCTTATAACAAATTAAGTTTAATAGAACCAAAACATTCTTTAAAAATTTTATATACATACTGAACTAAAATGTAGGAAACTATATTTCTGGGTAAATGAGGGAGTTATTGGCTTGAACTGTTCATAAATTTTGAACAAAAAGAATTTTGATGAAATTCAAACTCTGAGGATAAATTTTTTGTTTAATATTAAAAAAAAAAAACTAATTTCAAGAAACTTTTTTAAAACATTTAATACATTTTGACATATTTAATACATGATGACATTTAATGCTTGATGACAAATCCTAATCTTGCTGAGAATATTGTATTGCATATAGTATATAGTATATATAATAGCATATAGTAGCATTT